GCATTCGGCCAATCACAACGCACTGGATAGCTGGCCAATCAGAGCACACCTCGCTTTTCAGAACGATGAGTTTTCAGAAAGGCGGGGCATAGAGGAGAAACAATAATGTACAGTATGTGGAAAATAATGTTTTTTTTTAACCTTAAACCGCATAAACACATTGCATTACACCAAATACACAAAATAATGTTTACAAAATAATGTACACAAAAGATATTTAGAACTTTATGTTACACTTCGTTTTCATACTGTGTAATAATCTGTATGTATATCTTTTGGAAAAACAATAATTATTCTTATGAAAAGTCTATATGAGTTTCAAAGGTCGAATTATACAAGTCTAGTCAGGAAGCGAATGTTAACAGCTCCACTAAACCCTTGTTAATCCGGCGCCACACTGACTCGAAAGAACTCGATTTGGATGGGCGGATGACACACTTAGCAACTGTTGTTGCAGATTTTGCCCTTCTCAGACAGTGAGGCTGTTACACTCATGGGAGTACAGACGATTACACACTAAAAGACTGGCTTAGCAGGCAGGTCTTAACAGAAAACTGTTGTAATGGACTGTTTACAGTTGAATGAATTTTCTCAGCAGGGAACTATTACCACTTCACTGCCAAGAAACACCGCCATGCCCACTGACTCCCTACGTATGTCCAGCGGTTATGTAAAAAGTTTATGTAAAAATGTAATGGTAATGTAAAATGTCAAATTGTGTGATGCGGACTTGAGTTAAAAACTGAACTGACTTGAGCTGAATCATGACACCATTATCTTCTGTAGAGCTCCTTTACTGCTGAATTTGATGACTTTGCAACATTAACACTATTTTCCTGTTTATTACTGTGAAGCTGCTGTACTGTAAAAAAGCGCTATATAAAAATAAATGTGATGTGACTCCTCTGCAAAGTTAGAGCAAGATAGCTATTGTAATCCATTGTGATTATGTACATGTGATGCTCCTGTTCTACTTTAATTTGTTGCCAAAACAGTGCAATTCAATATCCAATAAGATCAGATGGACATTTTAGAGATAGTTATTTAGTTGTTTAACCATTTTCCATTCCTAAGTGTTCACTGTGAGACAGCCTCCAAAACTGAGTCAAGATTTCAGTAAAAGCAGATGATTGTTGATATTTCCAGATCATATTCCCAACCATTATTGTTTTTTGTTGAACTAACAGCAAGCTTTTCACACTGTCAAACCTGTGTGAAGCCTGACCTCCAGCGTGTAAAACGGACAGAAGAAACATGTAAAAACTGTAAACCATCTCCTAGAATCCTTCTTATGGATTCTAAAGACAAAGGAACCAAATGAAAAAGCCTGCACTCTGATGTTTTCACCTATAATACACTCCTCAAACACCAAATAGGGCTAGGCAATATAACAGTATAACAAAATAAAATTTAACTGGGCAATGGGAAAAAAATATTATATACTGTATATATATATATATATATATATATTTTTTTTTTTTTTTTCATTCATTTGATGACAATTCATACTGTATAGTGGGGTCCAAAAGTCTGAGATCACATGTTAAGTATGGTATTTTATTCATTTTAACCTTTAAATGATTATGAAATTTGAGAACATTGTACAGTGTCTTCTTGTTTCCACTGAATGACATCAGACATCACTACTGGCAGTTGAAACAATGGCCAAATAAAATGTGTTAAAATCATCATCATATTCACTATACTGGTTAGTTTATTGCCACCAAAACAATACTGAATATATTGTAAATAGCTGATATATTGCCCAACTCTCCCATCAAACGTTTAACTGTTCTTCATGACATTGAGGCAGGTCTTATGGCTTTCAGGCAGCTTTATATGGCATGCAGTGAGAGCACTGGACAACAATCACTTGAACCTCAACAATACACTTACCTTAAATCATCCAAACTCAAATTCCTGGAATAACAGGCAAAAGGGGTTACGTTTTGCCCTACAGATGTCTCTCTCTGCTACACATGCACACGTGACTTTATGAAGTGCATAATACTCACGGTTTGATCATGAAGCCCACTCACATTCATGCTGTATGAGCTTTGTCTCTCACACAGAATATACAGCAAAGAAAGGTGCCACTTAACCCGGGTGTAAATAGTAATGACAATGTCATCAAGTGTGCGAATAACCTCTCTAATTTTTCACATAAAATCAAAAGCAAACCAAAATATATTTTCCATAAAGAAAATAAAGACCATTTTTTTTCTAATTCCTATTATTCTAAATATGATTAGTAATAGATTTTCACTATTATAATGCAATAACTATTAAAATCTTTATTTTATTTTACAGAACAACAGTAAAATTACAATACTAATATTCATGTCTGTCTTCATTTCTGCACTCTCAAATGAGTCAGTCTTTTTCATAATCAAACTATGTATGAACAGAAGTTTTTTGTTTTTTTTCAAAGCATGTTGTGCTGTTGTGTGACTGGAGCAACAGCTCACATACACACACACACACAAGTGGAAGAAAACTCACCTGTTTAGCTTTGAATTTCTAGCAGGAGATTCAGCACCCCAGAGCAGATGTCGAAAATACTGAGGAAGAACAGAACCATCTTAAGCAAGAACCATCTTAAGCAGCACTGGAATGGCATTTCCTGGAAGCTACCTCATCGCTGTGGCAGAACATGGGGGTGAAGACATTCTCCAGCAGAGACAGCACATGTTCATAGGCCTCAAACAGACATGGCATCGTCTGGAGCTTCACCACCCCTGTAGACGGCCCCTGAGCGACTGCAGGAAGTGACAGAGACAGAGAGAATTAGAGACCGTGGCACACGACACATGTGCGGCACAGAAAACTGTAATGAGACTGACTGTTGTGGATTTCCTCTATGATGAAGGGGTCAAAGCTGATCTTGTCGATGCTCTCCTCCAGACAGTACGTGTCATAGATCTTCTGCACTTCCTCATGCAAACGCTGCATCTCCGTGTCACTCAGATCAGGACACAGGATCCGGTCATTAAACTCCTCTACACACAAAAACATCAAGGACAGATTTTTAGTGAACTATTCCTTTAACCTTAGTTAACGTTTTAGGTAGGTAGGTAGCAACTGTACATACAGAGTGCACATATGAACGAAATTCTGTTTCACTGGCTCATAAATACTGCACTAACTAAACATGTACTACTGTACAGAATCAGTCTAAAAAAAATAAAATATAATAAAAGACGCTACAGCCTGCATTAAAATATAGCACTAAAAAGAACTGACAGCGGCGTATAGATATTGATAATGCACATAGGCATATAAATACAGTTATTGCACATTATAAATAAATACTGTTATTGCAGTATCCCCATCTAGATCACATGGGACTCACTGCAGGGGATTCAGTGAGATATAATGGTTAAGAGATTATTTTGAGTTCAGGAGTCGGATTGCAAAGCTGTTGCAGAACCTTGCTGTTCTGCCCCAAATGCTGCGAAACCTTTTCCCAGAGGGCAGCAGCGTAAACAGTCCATGATGAGGATGGGTGGGGTCTTTTGTAATGTTTTGGGCACGGGTCAGACAGTGTTTGTGTGCGAGGTCCTGGATGGAAGGCAGTGAAGAGCCGATGATCTTTTCCGCTGTCCTCACCACTCTCCGTACAGACCTCCAGTCTGAGGCTTGTTTAACATTAAACATTGTATACATTAACATAATGCAATTATTGTTCACATTACATGATATATTAACTAAGTTATCTATTCTTCTTGATCCACTGAATAATATATACATATATGTGTATATATCAGAGCTAACATGTTAATTTGGTGCGATTGATTTTGAAAGAAATGTTGCATTAATTATTATTGCACCCCGCCCCATACGTCAACTAAAATTGTACACAATTTCGACGAACACGATGCAGGATGACTACTGACTGCATGAAGGAGCCTATTAGAATGCAGTTATATGCCCCTAAAAATCAAGTTATGGGGGCAAAAAAGTCTTGTATGGATTTTTGCATTTACATTAGGGGTCGACCGATTATCGGCGCCGATATTAAGTATTTTTATGATTATCGGTATCGGTCATTTTCAAAACCGATTCGCTGATAAAACAAACATATTCTTAAACGTGCTATTTGGCTCTGATGCAGCCTGTCAGAACTCACCAATCTGTGGCCTAAAGCAATCTCCTCCCACCGCCCATCTGATTTGTTGGGAGTCACGAGTCTGACCAATCAAGGCGGAATTCACTCTCACGCCGAAAGCGCTTGCTAACTGGAGCTGCTTCAGTGATCACGCATCAGTTGTCTCTCAAAGGTTATGGCAGCAGCAGACGTTGCTTAATTTGCAATAAATCACAATCCACTAACGTTACACTGAAGTTGCAAAAGACCTCATCATTATCTATGATTTCCGCGACGCAGAAAATGTGGACGGAATCGTGGAATCCAGTCATATAAATGGAATTTACAGTATGACGTGGACTGTCACGGAATTTGTCAAAGTTTGGATGAATTAATCAAAAGTAGGTCAGTACGCTTAAATAGAGTCGCGATATGGACTAGTATCTGTAAATATTTAGCCGCAAAAAGTTCTATTTAAATATTAATCCTGCATGTTCTGCGTGTCTCTGTGTATGTAAATGGCACAGACGCGCGGTTTTGTTTTCGACACATACAAAGTATGCGACGCTCGCGGTGATTTCAGCTTCTGTCGTCTCACTACATGAGGACATGAATACATGAACAACATCTCCAGAACTGCTCTGACTCCCTTTGAGAGTCACTTCAGGATCATGTGACAGTTTCATTTGAGTAAAACTGCAGTGTTTCCCACAGACTTACACCATACCTGTCAACCCTCCCGTTTTTCCTGTATTTTACCATTCTATCCCGCTATCATCCCCTTTAAATATTTTCCCGTATTTCTCCCATATTTTTAATCTTTCTATAAAAAAAAAATCCCACTGGGTGTATTTTATATGTTTGCTACATTCGCTTCCGGTAAAACTCCCGTAATTTGTATGGGCCAAATCTCATTATATCAATAATCACTACAAGAAATTCCAAGGTTGTCCAGTTGCCAGATCTTGTATGAAACGCATCTTTCTCACACGATCGACGCATACAAATTTCAACCCATTTTGTCCCCTCAACTTGGCAACCTACAGCCCAGTGATGCTATTGATATGTGCGCAGGTAGTACCGCGGGAAGGAAACAATTGATCACTGGTAGAAATGGGAGGAGAAGACTCAGGTGGTGCTCCAGTGAAAAAACTAAATATACATGTAAATTGAGATATACCTTACACTTCAAAAGGCTATTTAATTGATTAAATATGAGCGCTGCTGCTTTGTTTACTGCGGTTACAGGGGTAAACGGCTATATTCCTGACGAAAAGCGCCACCTGCTGGCAGATAATTAATTAGCATTTTTCAAGAAGCCCTGCGCTTTAGACTAAAGCCAAAAACGACCCTTATTTTTACGCAGAAAACACGCAGTTGTAAATGTGAACTGGTGGACCGACAAGAAGATAATGAATTATACAATTCTAAAGATATAGCCTACACTAAGATATATTTATGTTACTAAATTAATAGAATTGTTTGATAATAATTGTTTAAATTAATATAAAAATAATATAATATAATGTTACTTTTGACTCCTTGATTGCTAATTTACATCATGATATAGTTAAGCAATATCATACAGCAAAAGTGCTATTTTTCCTGAACATATCTTACGATTGCAAACAACAGTTCAATAAACAAGAATTCAATATTGTGTTACATTTCTGACATGATATTGTCAATAGCCACAGCAGAACTGTTGTGTGTCTCTAAGCAACACAAAGTGTATCGTTTGTACTTAAATATTTTACAGCCAAGGGATTCATCTTACAGAGAGAGAAAAAAAAAAGTTTGGGAACCCCTGTCCTAGAAAATTCCAGGCCCCAGTGTTATGACGAGGCCCCTCTCTGACTTCCACAGTGGAGAAAGCTTTGCTACATATTGTTTGGATCTTTGTGGACTAACATAACCAAGTCATCAGATGAGGCTGCTGAGAACAACTTCCAGATATCTTAGAGGGCAAGAAGAAGATCCCAGTGCAAGGCACAGAAAGGAGAAGACTTCCTATTGGTCCACATGCAGTTTCTTTCAAACTAACTGCCCTTTAACCATCTTGAAACTCATTTCTAAAGGCCCAGACACACCAAAATGACATCAACTAGTGAACTAGTGGCATCGAAAGCCAACTGCAATGTCGCCTCAGGTCGACTGTTTTGGGGCAAAAAAACTGCACTTGAACTGACAGTGAACACTACAGCCAACAGCCAGCGAGCATGCATGTTCTGTGCCTGTGTGAGAGTGAAGAAGTGTCCATACCAGCAGGTGGCAGTAGTCTATATTCAAAAAGGAAAACCTGTATACAAATCCTAAACAAAGCAGTGCCTGTTTACAATTTTTACACCAATCTTTTTCACCACAGACCGTTTAAAAAAAAATCGATAAAGATGAGATGACGAAAAATGAGAAGCGTCTTCAGTGTATGATCTCTTAACTTTTATTGTTTGCTTGCTTTCATCACTTACATTTACAGTGTTTTTTTTCAGGCAATGGTTCGCTAAGCTGAACAGCCAACCAGACTGATCCCCTCTCCACTGACCATTCAACATGTTCAAATGGTGGAAAACAGCAAAAACTAGGCGACAGACACTCAGTGATGGCCCAACTGTGGCCAACAGCCAACCATCAGCTCAGTAAGCTTTAAGAGCCACAAAGACCCATCCAAATCTATTCATAACTATGTTTGAAAAGCTTACAATTGATGTAAACTCAACACATACTTTTTCAGAGAAATATGTATTCTTAATGACTGCTGACAACAACAGTTGTAATACAATAAAAATACAACTGTTCAAACATAGAAATGAATAGATGCATGATCCAAATTCAAACTGTAATCTACTTCTCACTGGAGAGAAATGCGATAAATGAACCCTTTCAACCCTTACTGTTGCTACGTCCGACAAGCAGAGCAGGTTACGTTTGGTATGAGACAAGTCTCAGCTTTCAAATTTGGTCTTTTTTTATTCCATCAATAAATACCATTTTGTGGCTCTTTAATATTTTGTGACAGATAGCGTCTCAGTTCAAGCGGCACGTGAACCGATCATCTTTTCATATTTACTAGCCAAAGCACGAAATAAACATGAATGAACATCAGAAGGTATTTTATTTTAACTGTGGAAAGATTTCTCAAGTTTAAGTCCACCGAAGTTAATCTTCGGTTTGTTTGTTGGACAAAATGGCGGATTCTGCGTTAGGATTGGTCAGATCACCAGTCAATCAATCTCCCTGCGAAGGGTCAATTCACAAAGCGGGTCACTGAGTGCTGAACGTGTAAAGGTCATCAGTGCCCTGTTGATTCTATAGCTGAAGAGCTCCAAACTTCCACTGACATTAAAGGTACTGTATGTAATTTTTTTACTGTACCAAAGCATAAAAACACCGGATTCTGCGTTAGGATTGGTCAGATCACCAGTCAATCAATCTCCCTGCGAAGGGTCAATTCACAAAGCGGGTCACTGAGTGCTGAACGTGTAAAGGTCATCAGTGCCCTGCTGATTCTATAGCTGAAGAGCTCCAAACTTCCACTGACATTAAAGGTACTGTATGTAATTTTTTGACTGTACCAAAGCATAAAAACACCTAAATATATTCGTAGATATTTAGGAAACATGCCAAGTTCACATACTTGTTTCTCTGAAAAACAACGCTAAAGCCAGTTATTCTACTTTGAAAATGTGCATTCCGTGTCAGAATGCCTGCTTTTGTTTTGGTCTGTGTGATTCCGCCCACTGCCAGTTTAACCAATAGTATTTTGACACTCCGGGTTGCCAGAGAGCGGAAAACAGTGTATCGCAGCCATGGAAGCCAGCAAATGAACTGGCTCAGAGATTGCAGATTCTACCCGACCTAAAAAGCCTCGGCATCAATCTAAAAACCTCTAAGACCAGAGGCATATTAAAACGAGGATAAATCAACTCATCAACTTACAGTGTAAGACTCACTGCTTCTATTGTCGAATGCGATTATTCCCATTGCGTGTCTTCAATCTGACAACTCGCTGGAGCGACGCGTCTGAGGAGGAGGGGCCGGGAGAAACAATATTTTGAATTTGGACTGCAGTACCCATTTCAACCGCCAGCTGTCAATATTACATACTGCACCTTTAACATCATCACAAAAACTGTGCGGCAGGAGCTTCGTGGAATGGGTTTCCATGGCCGAGCAACTGTATGCAAGCCTCACATCAACAAGAACAATGGCAAGCATCAGATGGTGAATCACGCTTCTCTGTTTGACAGCCTGATGGGCGTGTCTGGGTTTGGCAGATGCCAGAAGAAAGTTAGCTGCCTGACTGCATTGTGCCAGCTGTAAAGTTTGGTGGATAAAGATATGGCTGAATGAGTTTGGTGTGGAAGAACTTGACTGGCCCACACAGAGCCCTGACTTCAACCCCATCAAACACCTTTGGGATGAACCTGAACAGAGATTTTGAGTCAGGCTCTCGTCCAACATCAGTGCCTGACCTCACAAAGGCTCTACAGGATGAATGGGCAAAAATTCCCACAGAAACACTCCAAAATCTTGTGGAAAGCCTTCGTTGAAGAGTGGAAGCAGCAAAGGGGGGACCAACTCAATATTAATGTCAATGTATTTAGAATGCGATTTCATGAAATTCCCTGGTGGTGTAATGGTCAGGTCCTTCATCTGCGTGTTTCAGATTGCTAGGACCCCATTCATTTAAGAGAAACAAGTCTATCTTTTCCTAGATAACTCTGCCATAGCAACATCCAACTTAATTGACATTATATGCATTTTATGCACCACTTCTGGTCACTTTTACCTTTGTACAGTGAAATTCACCAGGCAACGCATCATCTCAACAGAAATCGTCATGATCAGGAATTTTACATGAGGCAAACAAACTTCCCCATTTGGATTTTGAATTGGATTCAAGTTGAACTCATATGCAAATTCACTGTATAAACTAACATAAAGCTGCTTATTCAGTGTGATGCCCACCACACATTATAGGTCTTCTTTTTGTGTGTGTGTGTGTGTGTGTGAATTCACTGTATAAACTAACATAAAGCTGCTTATTCAGTGTGATGCCCACCACACATTATAGGTCTTCTTTTTGTGTGTGTGTGTGTGTGTGTGTGTGTGTGTGTGTGTGTGTTGTTATTTATGGATCCAATGGTCTTGTTAATGTAAACACCTTGAGTCCAACACAAATTTCCCCTTTGGGGACAATAATAAAGTCTATTTCATTTGATCATATTTAATTTCTTGGGTCCTAAGATCTGTACTTGAGCAAATCACTTCTTACTCAACATGCATAAATCAATTTTAAAATAGAAAAACCCAATTTTAATAGATTTACGAGATTTTTTTCCCAACTCAACTGGACCTGACTTTCTGAACTGGTTTTGACAAAGACTAAAATCAGAGACTACAGATAAGAAACAGTAGGTGAAGATTTAAAAGTGTGGCTATCTTCCTATCTTATTTGAAGATGAAATTCATTCTTTGATCCTTCTTTGTAATGTTTATGTTAGCATATGACTGCTATTTAATGAATATACTTGCACATATTTTGGTAACAGAAACCCACATCTCCCCTTTCAGATTATTTCCTAATGAGACCATCATGCATTGCGTGCATGTCAGCAGTGAAATGCATGTCCTCACCCACAGTCAGGCAGAACTGCAGGACGTGTACCGCTCCTTCCTCCTTCAGGAAACTCATAAAACGAAACAACAGATCCTGTTGCTCTCTGATCTCCTTTAAATCCAACTTCAACACCTGACAGAAGAACAAACAAAAAAAACGACCTGTAAGGTTTTGTTCAAGACATTTACTAGATGCAATAACTCAAAAAACACTGAAATAATATCGTAAGTACACTTTGAAATTGATCAACCTTCTCACTACAACTCTTTTCCTTAGATGTCTTGATAAAACCTGAAATCGTAATATTAAGGTGGCCAAAGTACACACCGAGGATTTCGTGTTGCGTGGGTCTGCAAACTTCTCCAGGAAGGGCACCAGCGCAGATGGAGGGTCAGTCACTGGCTCAGGCTAACAGCACAAATGACAAAAAAAAAAAAAAACATGTTTAAAAGGCAGGAAAGTCTGATTGACCAGACTATAATTCATTTGGTTGAATCACTCACTGGATTATCATCAATGAAAATGAGCACCATGTGATTCACTGTGTCCTGGAAAACAAAAAAAAAGTGATTCATGAATATGATTAACAACTACAAGAAAAACAACATTTATTTACATTTATACGGTGTATCAAATGCAGCTATTGCAAAAAATAAAAATAAAAAACACATACTTTAATCAATTTAATTTATTAATGAAAAAAACACTATAATACTGTAATCAATTTAATTTATTAAAGAAAAAACACTATAATACTGTAATCAATTTAATTTATCAATGAAGAACAAAGATAAAATATGTCATGACCTCTCGAATCAGCAGGGCCAAAGATCTGAGAACGAACCACAAAGCTTAAACGAATATAGCAGAAAAACATCAACTGATCCTCATCACACTTTTCCACACAGCAATTCACACTTAGAGACTTGTGTAAGATGGATCTCTTACTGTTCAAAGTTTTAGGGTAATTAGACTTTTTTTTTTTTTTTTTAAGAAATTAATGCTTTTTTTGAGA